TTGTTGATTACCGTGTATCAATTTGTTGATCATCGGTCAAAATCTCCTATCATCTGTCATTGTTTAGCTCCAACAACCTCCTTTATACATTTTACAACCACATTAATAGATCGATTAGCCCCTCTAAACTACCTAAAGTTATGCTCTTCCCAAATGAAATACACAAAAACCATTCCAGACCAGCTTACTTAAGAATATGCACCAGGAGCGATTTCTCCTTCAAATTAGCAATAGCCCACTACAAATTATATTTCAAGAAAAGATGAATTATACTCAATCCACACAACTGTAGAACTTACATCCACACTCCTTTAGAGAAATGAAAATCTGAGAAAATGTGGTTTCTCGATTCCCCATAAATACCACACAACCCACACCCCTCATCGACAACCACACCCTATCCTTGGTCAACAATATGTCAAGAATGATCATCCAAGCAATGATGGAACACTTGGGAATATAAACAGTAAACTAGACAAGATTATGCCAACTTACCTTGCTTTTTATGACTCTAACCCTCTCCCAAATCCACTTAGCCTTATCTTGGAACCTTACAGTTCTAGGACCGAACAAACAACTCACTTCATTCCTCATTTCAACAACTTCCTAAGGACCCAAATAAAATAAGTCTTACATTCAACATGCCATAAATTCTTAGTCTTCAATAAATACTCTTTGATCCAAGTCACTTAGAGAAAGCCTTCTCCAGCAAGGATATTTTTAACTAATAAGAGACCGTAAGCTCTATTGCAGTCAATCAAACTCTTGAGACCCAGTCCTCCATTTGACTTCAAAGAGAAAATATGGCTCCAATTTACCCGATTCCCCTTACAGGAATGTGACTGCACTTCCAGAAGAACCTCATATAAAAATTTTTAATCTCTAAAGTAACAACTTTCGGTAGAATCCATTATCTACTCTAGAAATTAAAAAATACTAAAAAGATATGCTTTGATGAGTTGAAGACGACCCCATAGTTGAGCTTCTTACAAGACCACTTACCAAGCCTCTCATTGACTTTCTCCAACAAGACAAAATAATCCTTTCTAGAGCTTCCTAGTCACCAAAGGTATCCAAGATACCTAACAAGTAGACACCCTAATTTGAAACCAATAACCCTCTAAGTCAAGCCAAGCTCACCAGCATCCAAACCATAAGCAAAGAGCTCAGTTTTGGCAACATTAAACCTCATGCTAGAATAATCATAGAACAACTCCAACGTACTAAGTACACCCAAAATCGAATCAAGATACCCATGACAGAAGACCAACAAGTCATCGGTAAAACAGGGATGTGTATGAGAGACTTTTTACACTAAGGATGAAAACGAAACATACAATTTCTAGTAAAAAAATCCAGAAGAGTAGACAAAACATTCATAATCATACCAAACAAATAAGGGGACAAAGGATCCCTCTACCTGACCCCCTACAACCCCTAAAATCCCCCACTGAGCTACTATTCAAAGAGACTGAATAACTAGGATAGTAACATATTCTTTAATCCATCCACAAAACACATCAAGAAGGCCCAAAACCTCTAAAATAGTTAACAAAAACTCCCAATTGATTGAATTGAAAGTCTTTTGTAATCTATCTTAATGACACATCATGGAGAAAGTGACATCCTAATATAACCCTTAACAATCTCTTGGGCAAGCAATGTGTCATCCACAATACCTACCCTTGATAAACGCTGACCGACTAGACAAAATCACATCATGGAAAAACTGACTTAATATGTTGACAAGAATTCTTGTAGTAGTTTTATAAAACACAGAACAACATGAAATTGACCTAAATACTCTAGCCATGTAAGAATTTATAGTTTAGGCAACAACATAATTGTAGTCGCGTTAAAAGCATGAAGCAAGGAAGAAGACTTAAAAAATACCTTACTGCATCTAAAAAGTCCCACTTAATCGTATTCTAGGCTATCTTAGAAAAACCAACAGTGTAGTCATCTGGCCCTGGGCTATTATCATTACCCTCCCTGAAAAGAGCCTCATGTATTTCCTCATTAAAGACCTCCTTACACATAGCTTGTAACACCCTAAATTCGACCTAGAGGAAAATTAGGTCGAATCTCGAAAGCCACATTAAAATTTGTCCCTCACCAAAATGATTAAAATTTGAAACTCTAAAATAATCATTTAATGCTAGAAGATATTCAAAACTCAAAACTAAAAAATATTATTAAATAAATAACCGAAGAAAAATACAATATGTTAAATAAGTATTAAAATATTCTTAACAGTCTAAAATAATAAATTAATGTCCAATGTCCCAAAATGTTTAACCAAAACAAGTATTTTTTGAATAAAATTGTCAGGTTTTAACCTGAAATGGCGAGAAAGGATTGAAGAAACAGAGAAGAAAGGTAGGTTACAGAAAGAAGTTTTCAGTATTTTCATTCATAAAATCCCATTTTGCCGATTACAATATATATATTGCTTAGATTCATTCAATTATTTATTGACAACTGTAGATTCTTTCTAACAACCCATAACCGTTTCATTTGTCTAGCTCTGTCATGGAATTCCTCAGCCCAATTGCTTTGTTGTCTCAACTTGCCCCTTAATCTGTCCAAAGCCCATATCAGGTACTTCTCGTCCTTTCACTTTCCCTTTTGTATAATTCAAAATCCCTAATTCATTTTCTCGTTTCCCATTTTCTCTATCTCTAATCCCTAATTGCTCATCCTTAATTCCAATTTTCTCATCCAAGGCCATGACAATACCCCTTCTGCAGTCGATGCTTGTCCCCAAGGATCGAAATCAGGAAATTGCGATTTCAGTACAGAAAAATCTTCCCAGGTAGCATTCTCTAGTCCCAAATTCACCCATTGAATCAACAATTATGTGACTGTTTTTTTTAATCTCTTTTCACCATTCTCTTGTTTAATACCAGTGAGGTATAAACACGGAGCTGCCCATATGCATTTACCTCCGGTGGATTTCGAGAGGTTACTATTTTATCTCCAGTGTTCTTTTTCAATAAACTGATATGGAAAACATTATGAATTTTTGAATTTTCAAGTAACTGTAATTTGTAAGCCACTGATCCTATTTTCTTTGTAACTTTATAGGGTCCATAGTACCTGGCTGACAACTTCAGGTTCTTCCTCAGAGCCACTGATGTCTGTCAATAAGGCTGAAACTTAAGGTAAACTTCATCCCTTACTTGAAGCTCTCTGTCACTTCTCTTTTTATCTGCATAATGCTTCATGCGTTGCTGTTCCTTTTCAACTTGCTCCTGTAAAATTGTGTTCATAATGTATCTTTCCTGTAGCAGTTGTTGTACATCTTCTACTTTTGATTCTGTTTGCCATGTCATAGTAGGAGGTATGTAGCCATAGAGAGCTGTGAATGGAGTTGTTCCCAAAGCAGTGTAGAAGCTGGTATTATACCACCATTCTGCTTGGGACAACCATTTACTCCAATTTGTAGGTTTCATAAAACATATTCCTCTTAAATATTGTTCCAGACATTGATTCAATCTTTCTGTCTGACCATCAGTTTCTGGATGGTAGGCTGTAGTGAATAAAGTATTAGTCCCAAGTAACTTAAGTAGTTATGTCCAGAAAAGACTGGTAAAAACCTTGTCTCTATCAGATAGGGCTATTCTGGGCTGTCCATGTAATTTATATACTTGATCTAAGTAGACTTTAGCTACATCTGCTGCAGTGAAGGGATGTACCAAGGGTAGAAAATGTCCATATTTGGTAAACTTATCAATAATAACCAAGATATAATTGTACCTGTTAGAAGTTGGAAGTCATTCAATGAAATCCATAGTAATGAATTCCCAAGCCAGTTTAGGGATTAGAAGTGGTTGAAGTAGTCATGGTTTCAAAACATGTTCATATTTAATACTTTGGCAAATGTCACACTATTGCACAAATTCTTTGACCATCCTTTTCATCCCTTTCCAATAAAAATAGGATTTCACCCTATGATATGTAGCTTGTATACCTGAATGGCCACCTTGAGGTGAGTCATGTAGAACCTCTATAATTTTCTGTCTTAAAGAACCTGTTTGTCCAATATAAACTTTGCCCTTATTTCTTAGGACACTCTTAGAATAGGACCACTATGTTACATCTTGAGTTGAGACAACTAGCTTAGTAATCACCTCTTGAACCCATGTTGGAATAACAATAGTAGCTGTCATTTGTTTAATTTCCCCTCATCCTCATCTCTTCTAGATAGAGCATCTGCTGCCAAATTGTGTCTACCTTTTCTGTACTGAATAACATAATTCAGTCCCAATAACTTGGTGAGCCCTCTTTTCTGTATAGAAGTAGTCAACTTCTACTCTAACAAATGCTTTAGAGCCTCATGGTCTGTCTTGATAATGAAAGTTCCCCCTTATAAGTAGTGTCTCTATTTGAAAATGATCATAAGGATAGCCAAATACTCTTTCTCATATATAGATAAATCCAGCTGTTTAAGTCCTAATGCCTTGCTAAGATAAACCACTGGTCTACCTTCTTGAGATAAAACTGCTTCAATTCCTTTAGAACTTACATCTGTCTCCAAACAGAAACTTTTAGTAAAGTCAGGCAGTGCTAGAACATGAGCATGACACATTGCAGTCTTAAGGAGTTCAAAGGCAGCTCTGCTTTCTTCTGTCCACTGAAACTGATCCTTTTTAAGCATAGTAGTTAAAGGCTTAGCAATCTCTCCATAGCCCTTAATAAACCTTCTATAGTATCTTGTCAAGCCAAGGAAGCCTCTTAGGGACTTTAAGGTTTTTGTAATTTCCATTGCTGCATTGCCTGGATCTTTGCTGGGTCAGTAGCTACCCCATGTTTAGATATTATATAACCCAGGTATTCCACTTCATTTTGACAAAAAACATTTAGTCTTTTTGGCAAATAACTGATTCTGCTTCAAAACTTCCAGAACAATCTTGAGATGCTTACTATGATTTTCCAAATCAAAGCTGTAAATAAGTATGTCATCAAAGAATACCTAAACAAATTTCCTTAGGTAAGGCTCAAATACTTTGTTCATTAATGCCTGAAAAGTTGCTGGGGGCATTAGTCAGCCCAAAAGGCATAACCTTGAACTCAAAATGGCCATGGTGAGTTCTAAAGGCTGTTTTTGGAATATCATCAGGGTTGATTCTGATTTGCCAATACCCTGACCTTAAATCCAGTTTAGAGAAGTATGATGCTCCCTTCAATTCATCTAACAAGTCTTCCACCATTGGAATTGGAAACTTATTCTTTATAGTCAGAGCATTTAGTTGTCTATAATCTATACACACCCTCCAACTCCCATCTTTCTTCTTAACCAACAAACAAGGTGAGGCAAAGGGGCTTTTACTTCTCTGAATTATAGAAGAAGATAACATTTCTTTAAATTGCTTTTCAACCTCTGACTTCTGATGGTAAGGCATCCTATAGGGTCTGATGTTTACTGCCTCTGTACCCTCTTTTAAGATAATTGAGTGGTCATGTTCTCTTGAAGGTGACATCCCTTTTGGTTCTTCAAAAACAACTAAATATTCCTCCAATAAATCTTGTAACTCAGCAGGTACCACATTAGGATTATTCTCTCCACTCAACATAAATATTTCTCCTGTTAAATCATTGTGTTTTTCCATCAATTTCTGCAGTTTACTGTTTGATATCAATCTAACATTAGAGGAATTCTGCCTTCCTTTTAAGATAACATCTTTCCCATCTTTCTGAAAGCTCAGAGTCATATGATTAAAATCCATCAACAGTGGACTATATTTTCTCAACCAATCCACCCCTAACACCATATCACTCCATTCCAGAGCTAAAACTCTGAAATCATGTTCAAATTGAGAACCTTGCATTCCCCACCTTAAATTTTTACTCATAGCTGAACTGTATAATTTTTCTCCATTAGCAACTGTAATAGTTAAAGGATGAGTCTGCTCCACTTCTACTCCTTCTTTAGACCACTGCCCAGTTATGAAACTATGAGTGCTTCCACTGTCTATTAGGATGTTAAGTGGTTTTCCTGATATGTGACCTTGTATCCTTAAGGTATTATAGCCCGTGTTACCTGTTATTGCATTTATAGATATTTCCAGTTCTCTCTCTCCAGAATCTGCTCCCTTAGGCTCATTATATTCTGGTTCCACACTCTCAAGATCTCATGCATCCTCTATCTCTTCCATAGAATTCAACTGTTTGACTTTGCATTGATGTCATGGACTAAACTTCTCACCACATTTGTAACACAGTCCATGTGTTCTTCTATACTCCACTAAACACTGTCTATTCTGAGGAACTATCTTTTGTGGTTGATTCAAGTTGGTATTAATAGATTTATATATGGAATTTTGTTCTGCAGATGCCACTCTAGGTTGAAACCTCAACTTCTTATTTTCCACCTCCCAAGTCAACTCAACCAATTTTGCTAATCTAAAAGCAGCAGCCAGAGTTGTTGGATTATGACCTTTCACTCTGTGCTTAATTTCTTCTTTCAGCCCACTCAAAAAAATAGAAACAAAATACCCTTCCTCCAAGAATGGGCTGTACTGCAACATATAAGATCTCAACTCCTCAAGTTTCTCATGATAATCTTCTACAGAGTTCTTTTGAATCAGCTTGTTAAACTCCTCCACGATGTCATTAAAATTCTGATCACCAAATCTATGACATATATCTGTTGTAAACTTATGCCAGTTCACCTTATGCTTTTGGGCTATATAACCATCAAACCAAATCTCATCTTTTCCAATTAAGTACATTGTAGCTAATTCTATTTTCTGGTATTCAGGTACTTTTAAAATGGAAAAATATTTATGACATTTCCTTACCCATCCTCTTGGGTTTGTTCCATCAAACATCTGAATTTCTATTTTTGGCCTGAAAACATAATTTGACTGACCCTCTCCACCAACAGATGACTCCCCTAAGTCCACTGTATTTCATTCTATTTTTAATTTTTGCACATCCATAATATCATTAAGTGAACTTTCACACTTTTGAGGAATAACAACAGGTCTAGATGATAATATTCCAGGTTCATCATTCCTGAAAGTATATTTCTCATGCTCATTAAGAACTGTTATTAAGCATGGTTGCTTACCTCCTTTTTTTGTTTGATCTTCAGCTGCTTGCAATCGGCCTTTATCAGATAAATGTGAGTCATTTTCCTCAGCTGTCTGGTTCACCATCTGCAATATTCTCTGCAAATATCCTTTATTCTCAATTACTCTAGTTTCCAATGTTTGTATCCTTGCTTCCAGCTCACTTTTCTGACCAGCCCACCAAGATGGTAAGGTCTCTTCGTTCACAGCTTCCACTGATTGTTCTGGTGTCTCTGTGGTTCCACTCTTCTTTATTTTCTTTGTCTTACCCAGCTTACAAAATTTTTGGGATCACTAATCTAGCTCTGATTACCAATTGTCAGGTTTTAACCTGAAATGGCGAGAAAGAATTGAAGAAACGGAGAAGAAAGGTAGGTTATAGAAAGAAGTTTTCAGTATTTTCATTCATAAAATCTCATTTTGCCGATTACAATCTATATATTGCTTAGATTCATTCAATTATTTATTGACAGCTGTAGATTCTTTCTAACAACCCATAACCATTTCATTTGTCTAGCTCTGTCGTGGAATTCCTCAGCCCAATTGCTTTGTTGTCTCAACATGCCCCGTAATCTGTCCAAAGCCCATATTAGGTACTTCTCGTCCATTCACTTTCCCTTTTGTATAATTCAAAATCCCTAATTCATTTTCCCGTTTCCCATTTTCTCTATCTCTAATCCCTAATTACTCATCCTTAATTCTTCATTTTCTCCTTACAGATAGCTTGTAACACCCTAAATCCGACCTAGAGGAAAATTAGGTTGAATCTCGAAAGCCACATTAAAACTTGTCCCTCATGAAAATGATTAAAATTTGAAACTCTAAAATACTCATTTAATGCTAAAAGATATTCAAAACTCAAAACTAAAAAATATTATTAAATAAATAACCGAAGAAAAATCCAAAATGTTAAATAAGTATTAAAACATTCTTAACAGTCTAAAATAATAAATTAATGTCCAATGTCCCAAAATGTTTAACCAAAACAAGTATTTTTCGAATAAAATATTGACAAAGTAATAATCATAAAGTTCGATAAAATGTCATACTATGTAGGTAATGAAAACGGAAAATGTCGTACTCCAAGTACGAAATCTCCTAAGCTCGAGTATCTGAAAGAGAAACTATGGGGGTGTAAGCTATTGAGCTTAGTGTGTCTCTAAAGTGCAAACATAAACAAATAAAAGTATAGTCCGAAGCATTCATAGCAATATATTCATACGTCAAATCAATAACAATAATGACATTTTAAAAGTTTTGCAAATGCCAATGCTTAGGCCTGTAAACGAACCGAACGCACACGAACGGAGGTATGTTCATGTTTGTTCATTTAATAAATAAACAAACTTAAACGAACACAAACATAAACGAACAAATTTTTTTTGTTCATGTTCGTTTATTAAGGAATATAACTTGTTCATGTTCGTTCATTTAATAAATAAACGAACATAAACGAACACGAACATAAATGAACACGAACATAAACGAACATAAACGTTGGATACCCTACCTTCCATTGTTCTTTCATGAAAAATAGTCGACAATGCAAATCAAACAAATCTACAGTGATAAATAGCGTAAGAGCTGATTAACAGTGATGAAATGTTTGAAGATATTAAATATTTCGATCGATCTTTTAAAGATATTAAATGATTCACACGACTTTAATTTAACGCTATAACATTTATCTTAATGGTACATGACTATATATGAACAATCATTTTCCACTACGTTATTCTAATAAATTCGCCGGCTAAAAGTTTTGTGACATCAATGTCAGACTTTAGTGAAGTTGTTAATAATGATCCTTTCCATTGACATAGTAGAAAATTTAACAGCATGAAGATTTCGAACGGTACAAATTGGACTACAAGGCAATAACATAGATCCGAAATCCCTTCGATGCTATATATCGTAACTGATATTATTGCTAAATCACCATTCAAAATTTTAACGTACCAAAAGTCTACTCCACAACTAAAGGTCAAGAACTATGAAAACAAAAGTTCATTGTCAAAGTGTATTTTCTACTTATTAATGGGTTCTTCCTGGAAAACCCATTACTTCCACTATTACACTCTTTTTCAGAAATTGCATAGAAACCTTTGTTTTGTTTTCTGGCAAATTCTATATAATTTTCTCTTTACTGATGCTCATATACTTCCGATTGTTACCTTTATCTTCCCATCTATTTCTAGAAAAAGTATAATGTTTTCTTGAGTTTTAGATGTGAAGATACCCGCAATAACTTTACATATCAACTATTAAGTCAAATAAAACAGAGAAAAAGATGAAAAAAGACCTGTCAAACTTCAGATTGCACTATAATATAACTTGTTTTGAAGCTTTCAACGATCGTCTCCACTCTCCAGTGAACACTAGGGTTTGGGAAAAAAGGGGGAAATGAATATAGGTGCGAGGTGCCTCACGGGTTAACATATTGGATTTAATCTCCAAATAAAATTGGGTTAATTATGGAGTTGATCATGATAATATCATATTAATTAATATTTTTAAGATTCTTACAAATTGGTCACCAAAATTGATTTAAGAAGATTGGGTTAAACATAAATGAATGAACATAAACGAACATAACCGAACGAACATAAATGAACATAACCGAACGTTCACGAACGTAAATGAACGAACGAGACCTATGTTCATGTTCGTTCATTTAATTAAACGAACACAAAATGTTGTTCATGTTCGTTCATTTAATAAATAAACACACATAAACGCACTTCCCGCCGCACGGTTCATGAACGGTTCGCTGATCGTTCAGTTCATTTACAGGCCTACCAATGCTTATGCACCCACCCATACTCCAATCTCACCCAAAAGAGTGGGTTCCTCAAAATCACACTAAATCCAACCCACACACCATATGAGTAGGGTCTACCATAAAGACAGAGAGCACTGAATCTGAAAAAATGTCATTCACCCCGTCGAGTAAATGCATTGAACTTCTTCTATCAGAAATTGTCCCTACATAATATGCAAAATGACATAATGTTTGATATCTGATCTAATCCAAACATTAATATTTCTGAAGCATGTATTTATTCCGAAGTATATATTCCGAAGCATGTATTCCAATTTCGATAATTCAATGCAAACACATAATCAGTAAGCATAACATATAATTCAGTCCCGACAGACTCACATGCATCATATGACATTATTTTCCGGATACAGTTACACCGTAAAATTCATAGTCAGACATGTTCACAAGTAAATTTTCAATACGCCAAACAAAGTAAGAAATCCAAACAATATAAGTGTAGCACCGATCATAGACACACCTCGACAGAATATCCTAACGGCGGTCGACGATTATGACAGTCAACTCTATCAACAGGTTGAACTAAAGAAGCAACCCCTACACCAAATATTCATGCCAAATCACTATTCTAACAAACTAACCAAAATAAATTAATCGAACTAACGTATTAAACTATTACTCACGATTTGCCCTTGAAACACGAGTCAATACTAAATTAGCAGATAACGATGAAGGGTGATAAATCTGTTTGAGTCTAAGTTTCCTACAAAAATTACGTCATCCATTTAAAAACCCCAATTCAATAATTTCATATTACGAAATAATATTTAACGACGAAATTAAAATTTTTCCTGTCTCGATCGAGGAACCGACAACGAGTTTGGTTCGAGTATAACAATCTGCCAGAACGAAAACAGGGTTACCGGTGTCAAGACTTGACTGCCGTGGTCACATGGGTTGGAGACAACACGGCCATGCCAACTGTGACCTCAAATGGCCGACAACCACATCAAAAATGGAAGACAGCGGCGTAAAAGGGTTTCCTCGGTGATAACAAGGCAGTTCAGGCACGACACAGGCCGACTAGATCATCGTTGGTGAGAACCTAGCTTCACAACGACCAAGAACGGTCAGACATGACAGTGGCGGAGGGTTTCCACGAACCAAATCTCGCAGTTTTCACTTACCATGAGAGTGATGCTGGTCAAACGGCAAAAAAAGAAGAGAACGACAGAGAACACAACTGGTGACTTACCCAGTCAACGTACGGCAGCGGCGATGCATTGAGAAGGTGAGCGACACACTAGGGTTCAGGCGAGAAGAAAATAAAGAAGAAAAGGGTGAGAGCCCTGCGCTGTTCGTGAGTTAAAATAGAGAATGAATTTATCAAAAAAGAAAAAAGAAAATTGGTATAATCGCTGAGTCAGACCTTGAACTTCTTAGGGTTTAGGAAAATAATAACAAGTTTTGAAAAAATTACAAATTGGTCAATGAAATTAGTTTTAGGGATTTGAAAAAAAAAACCAAATCTTAGGATTCTAAATTTTGGAAATTTTTAGGGTTTCAATTCTCCCCTTTAACAAAATTTCAGCCTCAAAATTTAGCTGTAGGAAAAAATGTGGACACTGACCCTTCATGGCCTCATCAGTTTCCTACTTGGACTCAACTTGCCCTTTCGGCCAAAATAAAGTACCTTCGTCCACGAAGATAATTTCAAGAAAACCTCATCGCCCATTACATACTCAATATCCCGACGTTTCAGGTCAACATAAGATTTCTGTTTATCAAAAGCAATCTTTATTCTATCTCGAATCTTCCTAACAGTCTGCTTCACCTTAAAAACCAAATCTGGGCACAATAGTTTGTGCTCACCAAC